TCTCAATTGCTAGGGAAGTATGGGCATCGGTTTAGCGTCTGCCAGCGTCTACAAGCGCCCAGCAGCGGCCCGCAGTCTGCTACCCTCCTATGACGCCATACTCTCCACGCCCCGGACGCTGCTAGGTCGCTGATAGACGCTGAATCAATACATGTACTTCCCTGGCCCTCGAGGCGCCGGTGACGCTGGTAGACGCGGCCTATGCGCTAGCTGCATATCTATACTTTCCGAGTAGCTGTAGCTGCTCTGACTCTCGGACGCTGGTGGACGCTGCCGCAAAGGAATGCAGCAAAAAGGGAATAGGAGCGAAACCTACCCTATTATCTAAAGTGGCCGAATTCGAGGGTTACACTTATCGTTCACAGGCGGACGGAACTCAGAAAAAGTAGCACGAAAGCCGTCGTTGTGGCACTCACATAGGGAGGTCGTATTTGGCTACCATGGAAAGAGAGTCGCACTCATTTCCGAGAAAGATTTCTCAGACTGTGCGTTTTTTCGTTTCGCGCTTTCGGGTGTAAATACAGTTGACACCGCTGCAATTCAGCAGGGCGGTATCAACGGGCGTCGAATGAGCCCATGCTGGGCTATTTTTCTAGAGCGGTAGCTGACACTCTACCTGACACTCCTGACACCTCCCCGCCGGTTTGCGACGATTTCAGAGATAGCTCTCCTATTTCGGTATCCGGTATCCGACCTAAATTCTATTTCTTGGAGACGTACTTCTCCTCTCCTACCCTTCACGATGTCAAAGTTTTGAGAAAGTCGTTGAGATGGTATTTAGATGGTGAGAAAGGAGGGAATTTCGCCCACTGGGAGGGAATTTTGGCGGAGGAGCGAAAATTTCTCAAACGAGAAGATGGGCCCTGCTCCGAATATTGATGCCTTTTAGCTCATTCGTCCAGCCATTCTTGAATTTAGCAATGAAGGATATTGAATCAGCTGTATGCCTTCTTTTCGATATTTCAGACTCGTGGCCATAATATAGCCGATTTGGATCCATTAGGAATCAATAGTGCCTGATCTCGATGACACCATCCCACCGGAGCTTGAACTCTCCTTCTATGGGTTCGGAGAACGTGATCTGGACAGGTGGGGCTGATTTTGTTGGTTTCCTTTGGTGGTCTCGATGGAGGAGTGCCGTTCTATCAGAGACGATCTTTCAGAGAGTTCCTGTTGCCACCAACCACTTTCATCGGCGGCGACAAACAAGTCCTTACTCTGCGCGAAATCGTTCACAGGCTAAAGGTATGGTTTTCAGGCACATTTTTTTAAACTATGTTGCCTTCCTGAATAACATCACTTGTTGCAGCGAATTTACTGTAAAACTACCGGTCTTGAGTACATGCACTTGAACAATCTCGGGCAGCAGGATTGGATTCGTCAGCACTTTGAGGCGCCTAGTGTGACTGAGCTAACCCACGATCAAAAGAAGGTGCGTGTTTATGTAGGGCTTTGTTCCGGGCACGTTGATCAATGGTGGTGAAAAAACGACAAAGTCGGTTCTGAAAAAAAAAAGACAAAGTCGTTCGCTAATGCCCCAACTAAATCCCCTGGCAAGCACATTCGAGCAGAGGGAGAGCAGCAGGGGCCATAGGACGAGATCACCGGAAAGTGGTGTTGTAGAAGACATGGCTGCCCAACTGATCCCCAGTTGAGTTCCTGTTGACACAATGTCTCTGCCTTTGTCTGGGTAGAGTGGTGTCGAGCCAGTGATGATGGATCGGGACCAGAGGGAGGGATGATGGCATAAACGTCCTCGTCTCTCGCTTTTGTGCCGCCGAAAGAGGTGCAAGCACCACCACTGACCAAGCTACCTGCCTCACAGATGTGCAGGAGAAGAACAGTTTGCTCGGTACGGAGCGAGCCTTCAAAGGCGCGGCTTTAAACGTTTTTGTGGTAAGGTCTCAATGCCCGGTTTCAATGGAAGGCTAGAGAAATGTTCACTACTGTTTAGATGCTTTTCAAACGTCTGATTCGTTCCACCAAGTTCGAGGAATTCCTCGCCAAGAAATGGCCCAGTGAGAAGCGATTTGGTCTGGAAGGATGCGAAGTGTTAATCCCCGCTGTCAAACAGGTAATTTAAATTACTAGTAACACCACTTTTCCGTATTATTTACTTTCGTATAGGTTATCGATACTTCCTCGACCCTTGGTGTTGATTCGGTGGTCATTGGAATGCCTCATCGTGGTCGTCTTAATGTACTAGCAAATGTCTGCCGTCAACCGTTGTCCACAATTCTCTCGCAGTTCTCGACACTTGAACCAGCTGACGAAGGTATGCCTTAGTCATTCATACTTGCAGTGAATGGTGCAATCTAGCGTATCCAATCGGTACAAAGATGGTATCACGTGCGCGGCATCCGCACCAGACCCAGTTGTTTCAATGAGCGCTGTTCGGCTTAGAGGGCGCATGGCAACGTTGCAGTATGTCAAGTTTTTCAGCGAGAGGGGGGGTGGGATTTGTTAGTCCGCGAAGATGCCTGACTTGGATGCCCTGAACTACATTCCAGTAATTGTAATTGTGCATTGAACTGGATTCATTTGAAGGTTCCGGCGATGTGAAATACCATTTGGGTGTTTGCGTAGAACGCATTAATCACGCGTCTAAGCGTAAAATAAGGATCGCCGTGGTAGCGAATCCATCACATCTCGAAGCTGCGGATCCAGTTGTCATGGGCAAGGTAAAACAGCTAATATGGTTGTCGATGAGTTAAGCTTCTAGCTGAGGTTGTTTGAGGTCCGCGCTGAAGCGTTCTACGCCGGTGATGAGAAATGTGACCGAACGATGGCCATCCTGATGCACGGAGACGCTGCGTTCTCCGGCCAGGGCGTAGTGATGGAGACGTTCAATCTAGACGATTTGGCCAGCTACACTACCAACGGTAGCATCCATATCGTAGTCAACAATCAAATCGGCTTCACTACTGATCCTAGGTGTTCTCGGTAAGTGTGACTATTACATTAACGGAGCTGGAAGTTCTGTTATGCTGAAGGTTTGACATTGGAATAACTGGTTAATAACCTAGGGATTTGCGCCAGTTTCTGAGATTCTCAATTTTGCTCTTACAAGAGCCTCGATGGACTCATCGTTTTTTCCTCGAAACAGGGTCCTTCTACTCGAAGCTCTTTCGAACTCAACGACACGCTCCACAATGTGCTGAGAAATCCCTCCCGTTCCACCAGCAAATCGCCTGCTTTGCAGAGACAGCGGCTGCACCCCACTTTGCGGCACTAAACCGAATAACGTGGACACGAGGACCGCCCATGCTGCCGCTCCGTTAACCGGCCCCACACAGTTCAACTGGCTCCGCCCACCACTGTATCCACTCATAATAACAGGGGACGGGCATTGTTGTAATTAGGAAATCAGCGTGCGGATTAATCGCGTGTGACCATTATCGACCACATCAAAATTGTCCTATTTCTCGTTCCGACTAGTCTCTCACTCGTTTTTGCTGTCCTATAAACTTAGTACAGAGGGGATCTGTCAGTCCTGTTTAGTCTGCGGATATGCAGGCGTTTCAGGCGAAGATGGCTTTTGTGCGCTGCCGCATATTCTCATTCAGCTGTTGTAGCAGTCAAGCGCTAGCCAACTCGCTGGCAAAACGCCTCATTTTATCGAACATTATACGATGCACTCTTGTCGCTGCTGCAATAAAAAAAGAAAAATGCGGTTGGCCACGAGCGCCCGAGCCTGTCGCGGGCCCTTTGACACCGCCCCATCATCGGTATCAAAAGGACTGTATCGCGTTTCTTTGGCTCTAAAAAACACTAGAAAGGATGTATGGTAAAAAATATTCTGCATGTATAGTTAGAAAATATTCAAACTAGGTAAAAGTAGACGGTACTATGCGGGGATCAAACACCGCTTTGTCTTCCGTCAGTGCCTTTAGAGCACGAGGAGCAGAAGTTTGCGCTGTTCCACCTCGTGCCCTCTGTAGCAGTAAGAAAAGAGACGCCCCGAAAAATGCAGATCTGCGATGCGTATAACTGCCAAAAAATTTGCAAGTCTTGAGTCACTAGACTTCTGACCAAATCGTGACTGTTCCTGGTCGTCTACACTGCTCTTTATTATCCTGGGTTCTTTTGACAGGGTTTGCTGGAGCTTTGTGAGCCACCCAACTCCTGTCGCGACAATATTACCTCTATTTGCACTGAAAGAACTCATTATTCACAATCATTCTCAATTTTCCCTTGTTGTTATAGTTCGTCTCCATATTGTACGGATGTTGGACGAGTTGTTGGCTGTCCGATTTTCCACGTGAATGTGGACGATCCTGAAGCTGTGATGCATGTTTGCAATGTGGCTGCTGAATGGAGAGCGACTTTCAAGAAGGATGTGATTATCGATTTGGTGTGCTACAGAAGGTATAAAGAGAAGATCATTCGTATCGTAGGCCGAAGTAGACAATGGTCTCTTGCCGCATTTTGCGGCAACATAGATTTGTGTTTATACTTCGCGACTGGAGCGATTCAATCGCTCGCGCGATAGAAGAACGAACGCTTTGCAGGCATGGTCACAATGAGCTCGACGAACCGATGTTTACTCAACCACTTATGTACCAGCGAATCAAACAACAACCAACAGCTCTTCAAAAATATCAAGAAAATATCACCAAGGAAGGTGTCGTAGATGAGCAGTACGTAAAGGTACTTTTTGAGCCTTACTATCCCTGCACCCTTTACTATTCGTACTCCTAGCATTCCAGGATGAAGTCACAAAGTACGGTCAAATTCTGGAAGACGCTTACGAGAATGCCCAGAAAGTCTCTTATTTGAGAAAACCGTGACTGGCTGGATTCTCCTTGGGATGACTTCTTCAAGCATCGCGACCCTCTCAAGGTAAATTTTTATTCCGCTTAGTGGGGCATAACAATGATCCCTCAGTGTCAAGTTCAACTGTTTTTTTTTTTTTTTATTCTTTTTTTTTTTCAAGTTTAACTTGTTGCAGCTGGTCCCTACTGGTGTTGATGAAGACTCACTAAGACAGATCATTGAGAAATTTGGTTCTTATCCCGAAGGATTCCATTTACATCGTGGTCTGGAAAGAATTCTCAAGGGGCGCAAGCAGATGTTGCAGGAGAATTCGGTAAGTTACTTGTTCTGTCACTGATGTAGCACAGGTCCGCGGAGAGGGGATGACGTCTCAATGGCGTCACATAATGTGTTAATGACGTTTCCAGGGAAGTCATTAGCAATGATAAAGTGCAGCTTATCGGTGGCAGTTCGGCGTTTGGCTAGGGCCAGCAAACTGCATTCAGGGGTGCTTGAAAACTCTAACTTGCACAGATCACCTTGTAAAGATCTGAAACCTTAGGAAGTTTCTGGAATTGCAGTTGCTCACTCGTACAATTTCGCAACTTCACAAGCGTTCACAGGTCTTACCATATGGAGCAGGGCTTATACTGGGCTTGGATTTTAGCCAAGTTCGCACGACCCCCCCCTTTTTTTGGGGGGGCGGGGGAAGGGAGTCGGTACAACCGCCTCCCCCCCCCCCTCGCCCTCTAGTCTCCTCCTCATCGATCGCAGATCGAGCCGTCGAGCGGAGGAGGAAGGAAGGGGTGGTGGGGGGGGTGGGTGGGCGGGGCGGGTAAATAGCATGTGAAAAAGCGACAAAAGTTCGCGAGGACAATACGCACCCCACCCATCTTACCAGTACTCAGATTTCAAACTTCCTGGCCACTTTCTTCCCTATTTTTCGCAAAAACATTTTGCGCCGGAGGGTTAGGTATATAGTACGCATAAAATCAACCCCATCACTCTCAGAAAGGCTAGAAAGTAGCGCCCCCTCCCCCTCACAATGAGCAAGTACAACCCCTCCCCCTTTACAACGTCCGTGAAGCGAGAAAAATCAACTATCAAAATAAATTTTTCTCAGCCCAAATACGACCTCCCTTCCTGGCGGCCAAATACGCCCCCCCCCGCTGTTGGGGATTCCCCAAACAACGATGTTTGCCCTGAAATGGAGACCTCCCGGACTACCAAACCGAATTAGCAGATAAGCAAATTTCCTCCCCTCTCCCCTCCAAGCCCAAGATAGCGCGCAGAATTCTTCGTTATTAACGTGTTAGCTGACACGCATCTGATTATTTTCGAGGTTCACGGACCTATGCCTACAGCCTGATCCGGAAGTCTACGTCAGGATCTTTATTCATATATTGATCTAGCTTGATTGGGCCTGTGGTGAAGCGTTGGCGTTCGGATCGCTTCTCAAAGAGAACATTCATGTTCGCCTCAGTGGACAGGATGTCGAGCGTGGAACGTTCTCTCACAGGCACCACGTGCTGCACGACCAGATGATTGATCAGAAGGTATGTATGTGTAGTAGTTCTTTAAAGCATTCATTGATATGAATAGTGCCTAACGGAGGCGACGGGTGAAGACTACCTAGCAAGTCGTTTTCACAGCAGTTACCGCTGCTGCGGCGTGTCCAGACGACGGTTGTGTATTGATGCGCTTGAAAGGCTATTGCTGCCCGCAAACCCCGCACCTCTGACACTGCCTACGCGTCTGCAGCTGAAACGACTACATCTTGGCGGGGCGCCAGCCTCGTCTCCATCAGTCGTTGTCACTACGGGCAGGCATTCAGGGAATAGGCTGGCGCCCCGTAGTGAGAACGGCGCCAGCCTTCCCTCAATGGCTGCCCGCGCGCCTAAACGTACTGCGTACGTAGGAGACGCTTCCACCCGATGCTCTCACATATTCCTAGTGGTTTGCTAAACCAATTCTTTTAAAGACTTACAATCCATTGAACGATCTACAAGAAGGCCAAGCACAGTACATCGTATGCAATTCTTCCTTATCGGAATATGCCGTACTTGGATTTGAGCTTGGTATGTTGTATTTTGATTCATACTACTAGCAGTACTTTCTGCGCAGACCATGCTCTTAATGCAGTCTTGTCCTCGCTGCGAATGCAGGGACGTGCCACGGCAGGGTTTCACGTGCTCGAGCTACTTCTCCATCAACAAAACGGGCAAATGGCAAATATTCGTGGAAAACAGGCTGGCGCAAACTAAAACCCAGTCCAGCCATCCGCGCCGCGACTAGGTGGCTTGGTAGTTACCAATGCCCAGATAATTCGTTCGTACCATTTTGCTCAACTCTAGGATACTCTATGGTCAACCCGAATTCACTGGTCATCTGGGAAGCCCAGTTCGGTGATTTTGCCAATAATGCCCAGTGCGTAATCGATCAGTTCATTTCGTCAGGTTGGTGCTTTTGTTCATTGATTTGTGCTTTGAGGTCTGTGTAGAGGCTGGCAGCGCTGGTCTCCATGAAGGAGCACTACTGCTAGTTCTTTTGGCTAGTTCATGTTAGCCTGACAAATGCGAAGCTGCGAAGTGGTGCAAGGGGCATAAGTATTCACAGAACTTCACAAGGTGGTCTGTGCAGGGTTCCCTGAGTACCATTTGGCCTCTACCGAGCCAATTTTAGCCAAAATTGCTCACTTTTCCAATTTTTTTGATGTAGTGTTTTAACACTGTTCAGGACAGTCTAAATGGATCCGTCAGTCTGGCCTTGTGATGCTTCTGCCCCACGGTTACGAGGGAATGGGACCTGAACACTCATCAGCTCGTCCAGAGAGATACCTACCAAATGTGTAAATGAGCGATGATGGAGTTGCATCTAGAATAAGCATCTGCACTGTTGGGTTTTGGTAGAATTTTTAAGCCACTGACGCTCCCGTTGTTAACTTTATTCATTCTATGTGTTCAGAATATTGCACTTCGGTTGGCCACATTCGAAGCACAGCCCAGCTCCATGACACAACATGGATCGATCGCAACTGCTGACCACTCCTGCAACCTTTTTCCATCTGCCTTAAGCGCAAGGACAGCGTGAGTTATTCATTTGCCTTGGACGCTGTTCGGGTTAAGGGGGGGGGTGAAGGCGGTAGGGTGGTACTTTCCATTCTCGCTAGTTCGTGTTTTAATTATGTCGAGTGATGAAACCAGGAACTTCACTGAAGCATCATTTCGCTACCCACCAAGTCGAACACCATTGCTTTCTCTTTTTTTCCATTCCTTTACTTGAGTATTCCTTCTTTAGGTCGATTCAAGCTTTTTTCTGCACGTGCTTTCTATTCCAGCACTGGTTGTCATATTTTTATTGAAGGTAGCCATGCCGTTCCGTAAGCCAGCTGTGGTGATGACACCAAAGTCCCTGCTTCGTCATCCGATGGCTCGTTCACCAATCGAAGATTTCAAGACTGGCACAACTTTCCAGCGCGTTATTCCTGACAACGCTGAACATGGTGCTGTGAAGCGACTTGTTTTCTGCACAGGTAAGTAGGTGCAGATGATTAGCAAAAAGATATATGGTTGGACATGTAGGCAGACGCGCCACATGATTCTCATGTTCTGACATACGTTTGGATCTCAGAGGAAGGAGTTCAATGATATTCAAGGTCAAAGACAGCCCCCGCGCTCAAGTAGTACATGGTCGTCCTTCCTTGGGCAGGTAGTTCAGCCCCCACTGGATACTATCTCACTCTCGCGACTCCTCAGCGAGCGAGGAGCGAGCTAGAACCGCTCAAAATTCTAGTTCTAACGCCTGCTCAGTTGGACCGCCTCTCCTAAATAATTCTGCTCTCCTTCATCACATTTTATTCATTAGGAGCACGTATAGTCAACAACAGCCCATCTCGTAAGGTAAAACGCGTAAAAATCACGAATGATGCAATTTCTGTGTGCCCTGCAAAAGCTCGACGCACTTCACTACACTAAAACATGCTCGCTACCGTAACCCTAAGTTCGGACGCCGGCTTTTTGAATGTTTCCTTTTCTTTTCAAGAGTTTTTCCTCTGTTTCTGTTGTTTTTTGTTTTCTTTCTTCGCATTCGATGATATCCACTACTGGGAGATGTGACAAAGTGATTTGAGATCCAGGGCTTGCACAGAGACCGCAGGAAAGTGTGACTGTCAGGGCGCGATTTTGTTTATGGTGTTCTTGAGGGCTCTTGTTTCTTTTTTCCTTCATTGAAGAATTACTTATCAGCTACTGTTTCATAATTGATCAGCAATTATCCTTGACACTTTTATCGCGGGACCTGTCTTTAAGGAACTCCGTGCCGTTCACATCAGGGCACATCGTGTGTTGGAAAGGTATTCGGGTGCGGGTCGTATTCGGTTGATGGAGGGGGAAATCGAATTCGACTTTTTTTGGATAGTTGATTACTGTTTCACTCGTGCTGCCTATATTGTTGTGAGAACTAGCGTGGGATGCGGGGTGGGCGGGTGGCAGGCCGATAAGTCCCACATCCCGGAGAGGGGGCGCAGATGTCTTTGCAGGAGAGCCAAACGAATTTAAAAGCCTTCCCCCCTGAAAAGTGGTAGGAAAGTTGGTAGGTAGGATGGGGAAGGAGTCCTACCAGAGGAAAAAATCCGAAGAGGGTCGCACTTTGCAAAAATTTCCCCCAGCAGTGGGTGGTGCCCTGTTCACAATCATCCTTTGGGGCAGAGGAAGGAAACGGGATGGAACAGCGTGCTTGGAAGGATAATCGAGAGTATCTTTTGAATCCTAAATGGTGATTCGGTTCTCCCCAGCTACCGGACACGGTCCCTGCGGACTCGAAAAAACCAAAGATGGGGTGACGCGAGCAAGATCTATGATTCCAAGGATTCCCTGCAGCCGGTTAACTGCGTGCGCAAAACAGTGGTAGCAGCTAGTGATGTATACTCAATACCTAATACCGCCGAACAAAAGGCGGACCCCGAGGTAGTGGGTTCTAAGTCGTTAATGGAACTCTAAACGACTAAGTGTGGCTCGTTTAGGAAAAGTGTACTACGATTTGGTAATGGCCAGAAAGCATGTGGGAAAAGAGGATTCGGTGGCGATCTGCCGTATAGAACAAATTTCTCCGTTCCCGTACGATTTGGTTCAAGTTGAATGCCAGAAATATCCAGAAGCAGAGCTTATTTGGTCTCAAGAGGTTTGTTACAGTTTTTGTGAGTTTACTTTCACAGTATTGTGGGAATGTTGGGAGTGCGGTTGCGTGATCGCGCTCATTTGCTGTCTGTTACGGCCACTAGTGGTCATCTGGTAATTCATGCACACCTCGAACTTATTAAAGTATGGATTACGCAGCGTACAAACCTTACGATGACCGGCTGCAGCGCGCCATCGCCTGCATAGATTCTGAATGCAGCCTTGTGCATGAAGGAGCGCTACAGTAAATGAGGGTCCATGTGGCGGAACAGGCCGTGCTTATTCTTGCGCTTTTCCCATGTTAAGCCCGAGGAGCGGGGTTAGACCATCGCGTTGTGTAAAACGGTGAGGCCAGTATGACTTCTTGAATTTTTTCCTTATGGCTCCTTTTCGTAAGCTAACTCTATTCAGATACCGGCCTATAATGAGCCTAGAACTAGAAAACCACTAGTCGTTAAAATTCTCACGGCGAATGACCTCTGTCCCTCGAGAGACGGTCAAACAATTGTGATCTGCCGCGCCGACGCGCGCGGTGCTTCATGTGGGCGGGCTTGGTGGTTCTAGTGAGATGCCCCACAACGACACAAAAACTAACATTCGTAATGCCCTGTTCAGACACTCTTCCTGAAAGGAATGTCGACATCGGAACATCGTATATCCCCTGCTCCCCTCCACCCGTCCCGCCTCCGAACTATGCAGTCGGCGCACGCTAACCGCCCGCCAGCGCGGCGAATTGCGGTTCTCCTGTTACATATCCCGACCCCGTCATAATTTTCATAGCTATGATGTACACAGCTACGAAGGCGAAGAAGTCTATATATTGTTGAAAGAACTCAAAGGAGCTCTCTGAAAGCTTCTGGTGTTGGCTACCCCTCCTAGCTGTACTAGCGCTGGTAGGGCTGACCGCAATCTACCAATTTTTCAATGAAATATGTTGAATGGTGTTTTCAGGAGCACAAGAACATGGGCGCCTGGGGCTTTGTGCAGCCACGTATCAACAGTCTGATGCAGAGTGAAAATCGTGCAATTCGCTACACTGGACGTCATCCATCTGCATCACCAGCTACGGGCAACAAGTTCACTCACCTTCAAGAACAAAAAGACATGATGAGCAGAACATTTGGCGTTCCAAACGCTCAATTAGAAGGTTTCAAAGCGTAAAAATCACATTCACCGATGATGAATTCTTCAGTAGGTCAAATCTATGCTCTACCTCGGCGCCGTCTCTTTAAAACTTGCCTATTTACATGCTCTCTCTGGGAAAAATCGGCGAAGCGATCGCTGCGTCAATTCATTTCGTAATCTGATACGTTGGCGTATTCATTCAAGTTGCCTATTTTTGTTTCTTCCCTATGGGAAAAAAAAACACGCGCCCTCAGTGGGATTTACACTTACTTGTAAGTAGAAGTACTTATGAAGTCTAGAGCAGCTGTCATGTAGTAGAGGTCTAGTCAATCAGAGAAAAGAGTTGAAAGCCCAATGTTACCGATGTTTGTAGTGTAACGTGTAATCACGCAGTGATAATGATTGCTCAATAATAATTAGGAATGTTCTGTTACGTGTGTGTTTTGGATACCTTGTGGCAGTTGGTTTCAATAAACACGAGGTTTCGCTGTATGAGTTATGCTATAACTTTCTTGGCGCTACCGTAGGCGCCAAACGACCACGCGAACACCTCAGGCTCAGCCTTGGAAGAGCGCAGACAACTAGAGTTATGCAGACTTGCCTCAAATTTCAGCTTTCTCGCTTGATCACTAAGTGGCATTTCTTCAGAACTGAAGGGAGTTCTGCTCCAACATTCCCCTTCAACTACAATAGCTCCGTTTTTCAACAAAAATTTCGCGGAATTACCCTCCCAAGACTAGCACAGCCGTGGGTTTTATGAGGGAAGCGACAGGAGAATAGAACTGCTCCTGAGCTCAGCAGTGTTGCGGTGATACCATGTTGTTATAATACTCCCACAAACCCTTCATCCTTCCTTCATTCTACCCACGCTCTCAACAAATTTTTCCAGGATTTGGCCCTCGATTGGTAGGGGAGCGGAGTTAGAATTAACTACCAGTAATAGTCGGAGTCAAGTCAACGAATGTAGAAAATTTTCATTTTCCTCTGACCGGTGCCACTCCTCACATTCAGTCCATCAGGGCACAGCATTAGTTGGGGATTTTGGTGAAGCCCGTACGACCCCCCCTTTTTGGGGGTTCGGTACGACCCCCCTATACATAAACTTATGAAGTTTCTTCCCCCCCGAGGAGGAAGAAACTTCATAAGTTTATGTATAAGTAAGCGCGAAAAATGGAAAAAGTAACAATCCTGAACGAGGCCCCCCTCGCTTTTTGCTCATTTCTATCCTGATTCAGAAAAGAGAATAGAAAAGAAAGTATTCACCACACTCTCCTCAA